ATTTCAGGACTGTGGAAACAAGCATTAAATAATTACCTTCAAATGCAACAGCAGAAAAGAAGAACCATTTTTTTAAAAAATTGGATTGTTTATTTGGTGTTGAGTTGTATGAGTTCTTTATATATTTTGGATATTAGCCCCTTGTTGGAGCTGTTGTTTGCAAATATCATCTCCCATTTGGTTGGTTGTCTTTTGTTGTTGTTGTGGGTTTCCTTTGCTGTACAGAAGCTTTTAGTTTTATGTAGTTTCATTCATTTATTTTTACCTTTACTTCCTTTGCCTTTGGGGTGAAATTCATAAAATATTCTCCAAGACCAAGGCCCATAAGATTGTTACCTGTGTTTTCTTCTATGTAACTTATTGTTTCAGATCTTATATTTTGGTCTTTGATCCATTTTGAATTAACTTTTGAACATGGGGACAAACTGTAGTCTAGTTTCATTTTTTTTGCATGTGGCTTTCCAATTTTTCCAGCACTATTTATTAAGAGGCTTTCATTTCTCCATTGTGTATTTTTGGCTCCTGTGTCAAAAACTATTTGCTTATTTACATGTGGTTTTATTTCTGAGTTCTCAATTATGTTCCATTAGTCTGTGTGTCTGTTTTTCTGCCAATACCATGCTGTTTTGATTATTGTTGCTCTGTAGTATAATGTGAAGGCAGGCGGTGTGATACCTCCAGCTTCATTATTTTTCTCAGGATTGCTTTGGCTATTGGGGTCTTTTGTGGTTCTATTCACATCTGATGATTTTTGTTTTATTCTTAAGTGACATTGAGATTTTGATGGGGATTATATTAAATCTGTATGTTGCTTGGGTAATATGGCCATTTTAATGGTGTTAATTCTTCCAATCCATGAACACAACATATCTTTCAATTTTATCGTGTCTTTTTCAGTCTCTTTTAATAATGCTTTATAATTTTCAGTATATATGACCTTCACATCCTTTGTTAACTTTATTCCTAGGTATTTTATTCTTTTGGTTGAAATTGCAAAAGGAATTGCTTTTTGTTTTGTTTTGTTTTTTTCATTTCTTTTTCTGAAGTTTCCTTGTTAGTTTATAGGAAAGTAGTAGATTTTTGTACATTGATTTTGGATCCTGCAACTTTACTGTACTTGCTTATTGTTTCTAATAGTATTTTTGTGGAGTTTTTACGCTTTTCTATATAAAGAACCATGTCATCTGCAAAAAGTGACACTTTTACTTCTTCCTTCCCAATTTGGATGCCTTTTATTTCTTTCTCTTGACTGACTGCTCTGGCTAGGACTTCCAGAATTATGTTGAATAAGAGTGGTGAGACTGGGCCTCCTTGTTTTGTTCCTAATTTTAGAGGAAGAGCTTTCAGTTTTTTTAATCGATTTTTATATCCCCAATTAAGTTAAATTAGTTCTCTGGCTCTCCAGAGTTTTGAATTGGCCTGCTTTTAAGTGCAGGCATCTAAACCCAGCTTCTCTATATAAAGATGCTTAAGAAAGGATATTTGGTTGCTAATACACACTCCCGTCTCAAACTCTCGGTTGCATGCACCCTTTTTGTGGAACCAGTGGGAAAACCCTGTTCCTGAGCTGTGTGTGTTCTCCGCTCTTACTTTGCAGAGCTTGGCTGTTCTGCCTCTGCACGTGCCCTCTCTCCATGTGGTGCTGCCAGGCGCTGCCCTAGGACCTTGAGCCGTGTCTTGGCTATGCGCCTGGGGACCTGAAGGGTACTGACACCGAACCCACCCAGCACCCATCACATTCCAGAGTAATTTACTGGGACGCTGAAATCATATGCAGGGTCCTGCAGCAGTTAAACTTGCTTCATAGATACACTGACCAGAAATAACTTCTTCATCCAGAGAAGATGGTACTCAAGTTTGCTACAGAAGCTCTATATACAGGGGTTACGCCTACTTTCCCCTCATAATAGAATTTACCAATCCTAAAAAATAAGATTTGGAGAATGAGTTTAAACATTACTCGAAAGAAATGGTGCGGAAGTAAAAATCATCAGTATTCCTTTGATAAAATCTGCTGAACGAGAAGCCAGGATGTTTTTAATGAATAGCTGGGAGCAGGCAGTTGGATATTTGAGATGCAGTGGATTTTGGTGGCCATCTGAGGTAACCTTTATTGTAAAGAAGCATTTATTCCTTTTCAGTTGTGTTGGCAAACAGCTATTAAGCACTGGTCTCTTATGGCTGATTCCTGACATCGAGCTTGACTCCTATTAGGAATATAATTCAAGTGTCATCTCCCACCAAAAGATACAGAATCTAAAGTAAAAAAAAAAAATTAGGTAGCTGCGGTGATAATGCAGCTGTTACTTGGAGAGTTGTTTTTACAATATCTTTATTATGCATTTTATCATTTAGAGTAGCATTGTCTAATAGAAGAGTGATGGGAGCCACATACGTAATTTTAAATTTTCTAGCAGCTAAGTTAAAAAATGTAAAAAGAAACAGGTGAAATTAATTATGATGACATCTTTAACTCACTATATCCAGAATAATATTATTTCAACATATAACCAATATAAAGATTATTAATGAGATATTTTATATTCTATTTTTCTTACTTCCTGCATTCGGTTTATGTTTAACACAGCACATCTCAAATCAGAGTAGCCACATTTTAAGTGCTCAGTAGCCACATGTGGCCAGTGGCTACCGTGTTGGGCAGCACAGATTTAGAACATATTCCTTCAAGTATTAAAGAAACAAATACATTAAAATAGAATAAAATATTTTAGAAAGAGTTCTTAATACTTTTAGACAACTGGAAAAGTGGAAAAGTATGTTGAAAATTACTAAATAGGTCAGTGTAGTAAAATAGCTATCTGATCTACACTAATAAAAGACAAAGATGCTAATTGACCATACCTTCACTACGCCCAAGCTACACCCACCAGCCAATCAGAGTGACTATATGCAAATTAACCCAACCAAGATGGGGGCCGGCAGCCATGGAGCTGGAGCAAGCAGGAGGCTTGGTTGCCCTGGCGATGGAGGAACACAAGCTTCCTGCCTGCTCTGGCCCGCTGTGGCCTCCACAAAGGCAACAAAGTTTCAATTATAGAAGCTAAATAAATCCCAGATACCTGCTTCCAGCCAGCCTCCACTGGGAGCTTGGGTGGCTGGAGGCTGTGGCCAGCCTGCAAACAGCCATCAGCCCCTCACTCAGGATGGCCACACCCTCATGGGGTGAGGGTCCCTGCTGGGGGGCTTGGCCAGCCTGCAAACAGCCATCAGCCCCTCACTCAGGATGGCCACACCCTCATGGGGTGAGGGTCCCTGCTGGGGGGCTTGGCCAGCCTGCAAACAGCCATCAGCCCCTCACTCAGGATGGCCACACCCTCATGGGGTGAGGGTCCCTGCTGGGGGGCTTGGCCAGCCTGCAAACAGCCATCAGCCCCTCACCCAGG